ACTGACTGAGGGTGATAGACAGTTAGATATAAATTCTTGTTTTGAGCGCAGCTGGTGTGGCTCAGTGGACTGAGCATTGTCCCCTGCACCAGGAGGTGTCACTGGTTCTATTCCCAGTCAGGGCACATGCTGGGGTTGCAGGCTCCATACCTGGTAGGGGGGATGCAGGAGGCAGCTGATTGATGTTTATCTCTCATCGATGTTTCTATCTCTCCCTCTCCCTTTCGTTCTAAAAATCAATAAAAACATATTTTTAAAAATTCTTGTTTGAACTCTTATCTTCAGTTGACTCAAGTATCAACTAACCATTAGGCTTGGTGGTTCTGGAAGGGCGGTCTGAGTCAAGGCTGCTTCAGACTTGAACTCTGCTATAGGTAGTGTCTTCAGCTTTGAATGTTCTAGAAACTACACAGAATATGATTTTTTTGAAGCCTCCAATGGTGATAATTGGTGGCTTTCTATAAGTTGGTTGTGATGTCTTGTTAATAGAACATCAGAATTTCTGTTTGGGTTTTGTGTTTTTGTATCATGAAATGACTGTTAATTCATATATTTTCTGAACATATTCTGTGCATAGTTATGCATTTACTGAAGGCTTACTGTTAGAGTCCTCATTCCCATTTCCCAGTGCAAGTTGAGGCCTTTCAATTCAGGGTCTTTAAATTTTTTTTAGCTACCTGGATACCTTACTTTTTTTTTTTTAACATGAATTGCTGATGTTTCTAGATTATTGATCATTAAAAAAAAAGTTTTGGCCCTGGCCAGTGTACTCAGTGATTAGAGCGTCGGCCCGTGCATGAAAGGGTCTCAGGTTCGATACCAGGGTTGCAGACTCAATCCCTGTCCCTGGTCGGGGTGAGTTCTGGAGGCAATCAATTGATGTGTCTCTCACATCCATGTTTCTCACTCTTCCCCCCTCCCCCTCCTGGTAATAAGTGGGAAAAATACTCTTTTGTGAAAGTTTTGGTTTATAGATTTCAGGAATTAACACAGAAATTTGTCCAAAATATTTTTAAGTAAAGTTTCCTTAAATTCTAATGGAAAAATGAACATAATAGGAACAAGTTACTGGGTTTAATCTTAGTTGCTCTTAGATGGGGCAGGTGCACAGGTAGGTTAAAGAAAGTGCTCATGTGAAAGTCCTTCCAGTAGACTCACGTTCACTTTCTAGAGTTTAATCTTTCAAAGATTAAAAAGAGGTTGAACTGAGCAGTTAATACATAAAATTGGAAATTCCAAAGCAAGTAGTAACTTCCTGAAATTCTGCAGCAGCATTGGTCCATGCTGTGACCAAATACGGCTCCATTCTTCCTGTGGGGAAAGCTGTGATTCTGCCTAGAGCCAGTGTTGACTTTGGCTTTGGGCATTTATTTGTGGATGTGTTTAAAAGTAGTGAATAAATACACTAATAGGAGGTAAATAACTGTTTCCTTTTTCTTCTTATCTGTTTTAAAAAATTAAGTAAGTATTTAAATAAAAGGTTGGACATGTACTTATTTAAAAAGTTATAATTTTATAATTGAATAATTATCTGATAGAATGCAGATTTGTAGCAAATAACTGATTGCTAATAAAACTTCAGTCAACATCAGGTTATGTCCTTACCTTGAATTCCTTTATAGTTCAACCTCTCAAAAGATACTGTCTCAGCTGAAGACAAAGTTTCAGGAAAAGAAAGTTCAGAATGCTTAAAGCACAGCTGGCCATCTTTACAGTAATGGCTCTGTTCCTCAGATACAGAGAAGAGACTGAGGCCAGGATCTTTTTATTTATATATATATATATATATATATTTTATTGATTCTCCACAGAGAGGAAGGAAGAGGGATAGAGAGTTAGAAACATCAATGAGAGAGAAACATCAATCAGTTGCCTCCTGCACACCCCCCACTGGGGATGTGTCCGCAACTAAGGCACATGCCCTTGACTAGAATCGAACCTGGGACCCTTCAGTCCGCAGACCGACGCTCTATCCACTGAGCTAAACCGGCCAGGGCAGGCCAAGATCTTAAAAGAAGTGCTAGTACATTTTAACAGGGAAGTACAATTTTATTTTTAGAATATATTTTTTATTGATTTTTAGTGAGGAAGGGAGAGTGTAGAGAAAGCCTGGGAAGGCACATGAGTTAATTATCTGCTGAGTCCACTGGTGTCGGCAGAGCCATGTCCTGGAAAACATACCGTGTCAGAGGCAGGTATGCTGTCAGCCTGACCCTTAGCTCAGGTGCCAGGGGGTGGGTTTCATTATCTAAGTTCAGCCAGGCGCAAGGAACGGATGCAATTATCCAGGCTCAGCCAGGAGTGACAATTACAAAGAAGCCACAAGAATGAAGAATTGCAGCTTGACCTTTAACCATGATTTCACATAATTTCCTTTGTTTTAAACTCTAGTAAAACTTCTGAAATCATACTGTATATAATAAACGCGCTGCACCAGCTCTGGGTCCATCAGAGGGCAGTGTCCCACCGGGTCCCAGCTTTCCCTACTGTCTTTTTCTCAATCCCCAGCTGCCCCTACTCAGGAACTCGTCTGCTCTCTAGCCCTGCTGGTCGCAGTAGAGAGAGAAAACTTATAGGAGAGGGAGAGAGACATTGATTGTCTACCTCCTACACGCCCCCTACTGGGGATTGAGCCCACAACCCAGGCATGTGCCCTGACTGGGAATCGATCCTGCAACCTTTCTGTGTACAGGACAACACCCAACCAACTGAGCCACATGGGCAAAGATGAAAGTTAAAATCTTTATAGCTGCTTATCCTGGTCATTAAGTGACAATAACTATGAACATTTTTGCACAACAACATTTGTAATTTTGAAAAGAGGTTCATTTATCACAGCCTTAGACTCCGCTCTCTGCCTCAGCTACCACATCCAACCCATGGCCGAGCCATGCTTGTCCTGCCTCAAGTCTAGGCAGCTCCTGAAATGCCCCCCTCTCTTCACCCTGAAAGCCCCTCTTGGTCCAGATTACCAGGGGTAGTTACTGGAACGGAGCAGCTGCTGCTACTTCCTTATTTTCCTGCTTCCGGGCCCCAGCTTCCTCAGTCTTCTCTCCAAGCAGCGTTCAGAGTCTTCTAAAAATGCAAATCTAATGGTTTCTTGGCAACTAAAAACCTCTGTGACTTCCCAAGTAGGATAAAGTCCATGTTCCTAGCAAGAAGTTATCCTGGGCTTCCTTTAGTTCTGGGTTTCCTCTTACGCTGTTGCTTTTGTCTAGAATATTCCTCCCTATTGTGTCCCTCCTTCCCCTAAGTCTCAGCATACACTGCAGCCTCCTCTAACTGCCCCCAAGACTAGGTTAGATCTCTTGCTGTTTCCAGAGCATCTTTGATAACACTTGTTGCACCTATAATTTTTTTGTCATGACTGTATTCTTCATTTTTTAATTAACTGTATAAATTCCATGGGGTCTTATTTGTTGCAGCACCGAATACACTTCCTGGCATAGCACACAATTTGTTGGTATAGGTTGAAATTGAATTAAGTAATGCTCACAATAGTTTTTTGATGGAGTGGTAGTTTTGCATCCATATTACAGTTGAGAAAACTGGAGGCATAAGGAAGTTGAAACTTACCCCAAAATTCCAGCCAGTAAGTGATAGAGTTGGCCATGGGTGGGTCTCAAATCCAGGGTAATGACTTCAAATCTTAGGCTCCTGCTCGTACAGGTTTATTTTGACATGCTAAGCTTTTAACAAATGTATGGCCAGTGAGTCATCTCTGTTTAGAAAGCCTGAAGGAGTTGGAAGCTACCTCCTGATGATATAATGTTTGACTCTGAGGTCTTTAGGGTGGGGAGTTCCAACTTTTGTTAAGCCCTACGTAATGTTACAAGTGAAACAAGTATTGGCAAGACTGGATGGGCCTGTAATCGGCCCTGGTTGAGAGGTTTTTTGCCTTAAACTAAGAGTGCAGGGAAAATAGAAAAGCACCTAACTTCGTATGGTGATTCCTAATTTATAGTAGTTGAGGTTGGACAACAGAGTCTTACAACTCAGAATGCCGGTGTGTTCTCATGGTAAGCCTACTGAGGACAGCAGGGAGGTGGGCATTTGCTAAACTATTAGGAGGCCAGGGACATGGGCTCTAGAAGCCCTGAAGACATCCTATGAATGTACAATTTTGGCTAATGGTGCAGTAACTTTAAATTTTAGGTGATGTTCTCTTGAAAAAAAATTTTTTAAATGATTGGGAGACTTCCAGTCCCAGACTTCTGCTTGATGGTGCACTGTACCTGTTACCAGCTCGGAGGTCTTCCTTCTGTGGAGTGTTTCTGCAGAGTCTCTTGCTTACTCCTCCCTGCAGCTGCTGGGAGGTTTACTCCAGCATCCCTGAGCTATTAATTAATGTCTGGATTATACTGTGTTAGCTGCTCTAAAAGCTTGTGGTGATGTGTGAGGACAGGGGGTGGGGAGGTGGCAAGCGAATACAGATGAGTTGAAGTGAGAATAGTTCTGTGTGGTGGTTATGACTAAGCACTCTGTTAAGAGAGCAGTCATTGCTGATTGCCAGAGGGACGGCTTTAGGAAGGTGGTGGAATTTGAGCTGCCACTCAGAGACAGCAAAGTCTATTACTTAGCAACAGATTAGAAGTTGCAGAGGAAAGCTGTGTTTGCAGATTAGTGTCATAAAAATAATTTCAGGATAGAATTGAAGATTCTTGGATGAAAGATTCTCCAGATGGTCACCGTAAAGAATTTCAATTTTAAGATAGTGTTTCTCTTGAACCTTATTTAAGAGCTGTTTCCTGACTGAGTGCTGATATCGTGTACCTCCCCAGAACGTGAAGGCTCCTAACTCTGCCTTTCTGAAAAATTCTAGTTTGTTTACTTTACATTTCAGGATAAAAATACATGTGTAATGTTAAATAAAAGGTTATAGAAACAGTTTTCTTTAATGCTAAGTACTGGTGTATAATCCTTGATTTTTCTATAAATTATTTTAACAGAATAATGAAAACTATGATTACATTCATGTTAACCAAGCAACTTACACCTTTTTTTTCTCTCTCTCTCTAGAGCTGTAGGTAAAACTTGCCTGCTGATCAGTTATACTACCAATGCATTTCCCGGAGAATATATCCCCACTGTGTAAGTATTTAAGTTAAACTGGGCATTAACTCATCTGTGATGTTTTCAGACACCTTTGACCTTTGTTTTGCTATTTACATGAACAGATATGATTGCTTTTCCTTTCAAACATTCACCAAAGTCTAGGTAAAAAAAATACTTAATAAAATGTAAAGTTTCGACACAGTGATGAAACACACAGCTTTCCTAATTGATTTTTAGACATTTAGGAAAACAAGAAATTTAAACTAACTGAAGTATGGAGGCTGGGTAATGTACCTTTCAGATAAATTTGGCTCTCGGGGCTCTGTGTGTATGTAGGCTCAGGGAATTGGAACGTGACATACTCCGTTATGTTGTAATTGGCCTTTTCTGGCAAGTTCTCCGCTGGTTACATGTCACAGTTGAGTAAAGGGGCTTTGGAATTTAAACCAGGGTGTGTTTGGGGTGAGCGTACAGGAGGGTGGAATTGGCTACTGAGCTGCTCATTCCCTGCTGGCAGCAGAATTGGGTGGAGATGGCAAAGTGCTCTCTGCTGATGGGGTTACTAGGGAGCCCACGTAGCCTGCCCGGCCTCGCAGCACCACCCTGTGGCCACGCGGAGCTCTGTTTTCCCGGCTTCCCTCCTGGGGGAGAGGAAACACCTCAAGTGCCATCTCCTCGAGCACAACGCTCACACTTAGGTGCTCCCTGACGTGTTTTGTTGCATATTTTAATGTCAGTGGAATCACACTGTCCAGAACTTATGGTAGGGACTGTCCTTATCCACAAATGTAGATAGAGCTGAGTCGCTAACAGCTGGTAGGACTTGGAACTGCTATAGCTGATGAACCCTGGTCAGTGTTTTGGCATTACACACAGTGCTGTGTTAACCATCATGCATGTGTGTTTGTGCACATGTGGAATTGTACCAAATTTTAAATTTTCATAGGCACTACCCATTTGCCGTCTCAAAGGCTATCACTTTGACCAGCTGTGATGGAAACAGTCCCTTAGTACATGTTGTGGTCCTCATGAATTGAAAAAGTTACCTCACCATTTGCATTTCTGATCATCAATGAGGTTTAAATCTTTTTAATGTTTACTGTCCATAGTCTTCTGTGAATTGCCTGTTGAAATTTTTGCTTATTTTTCTACTGAAATTTTTTCTTACTGGTGGAACTTCTGCATATAAGAAATATTAATCCCTGTCTCTTCATTTGTCTTTTAACTTTGTTACGGTGTCTCCTATGAGTGATGCAAAAATATTCTCTAGTAAATTTTCTAGGATTTTTGTGGTTAAAGTTCTTATCTTTAATTTATTTAGGGTGTATTTTTAATGTTTATTTATTGATTGATTTTTAGAGGAAGCAACACACACACACACACACACACACACACACACACACATACACACACACCGATTTGTTGTTCCACTTACTGATTCATTCATTTATTGCTTCTCTTATGTGACCTGACCAGAGATTGAACAAGCAACCTTGGCATATTGGGATGACACCCTAACTAACTGAGCTACCCAGCCAGGGCCTAGAATGTATTTTTTATTTTAGTATGAGACAGGCACCTGATTCTTTCCCAAATTGGAAGTGAGGGGGGCTGGCAGGGGGTGGGGAGTCACCATTCAGTGAATAATCTATCCTTTTCTCATGAGGCAGAATTAGTACACATCAGACCTTCTATGAAAACTAGTTTGGTCACTAAATTTTTTAGACCACATTAGCACTTTAGACCTTGACTTTGCTGCCCCAGTGTAGTAAGACCTTAAGTTTTAGTCTTCAGAGTATGTAAAGATGAATTCTGGAGTTCTATTGTTTCTATTTGGTACCTGCCCTGGTTTGAATTTCAATGCCAGGTTTTTATTTAATGAACTACTTACTCTATGATACTCTAATTGTCGACCTTATTTTCCCGTTAGCCTGTAGGCTTTTTGGTCTTCCTTCTATAGTTAACCAGTTTTTGTGTAGCAACTTCAAAGTAATTTAAACATATGTGTAGTCCAGTACATTCACTTTGAAAACGTTATTCGATGGCTTCTCAGAACCCCTCTGCACGCTGGTTGCGGGCATGGATGATCAAGACTTGACTCAGCCCCAGCCTGCACGGCAGGTCTGCGGAGGCACAGCCCCAGCCCCAGCCCCAGCCCTGCCGTGTGCCGTCTTGTCAAGAGTGAGTCAGATGTCTGTGAAAAACTCAGCAGTGGGATTTGAAAGAGGGACCAGGTCCACACTCTATTTCTTCCCGGAGAGGAAGTGTTCTCTGTAGTAAAGGCAAAGCTTTTTTATTGCTGACAGTGACTTCTTTCAGTTAAATGCGTAGCGTTCCTTTGTTTCACAGGCCTTTTCCCAAGCTGTGCATTATTTCCCTCACACTCCACCCTGTGTTCCCTCCACTCCTTAGCTCACAGGTGTCTCCTTGTGCCTGCAGGAGGGCATCTGCTGGCCTGGCGGCCTCCAGCCCCCCCCCCCTCCAGGCCCCCCCAGGCCCCCTCCTGGCCTTCTCAGCACCACTTCCTCTGGGACCCCAGCTGGGACAGCAACTCGGGTCCTGGACCTGGGCCTTATGCTCCAAGACTAGAGACTAACAATTTTTTCTCCATATTTTACAGCTTTGACAACTATTCTGCCAATGTTATGGTAGATGGAAAACCGGTGAATCTGGGCTTATGGGACACTGCTGGACAAGAAGATTATGACAGATTACGTCCCCTCTCCTATCCGCAGACAGTAAGGACCACAAGTGATTTTTTCTTTTTTAAGATTTTTATTTGATTTTTAGAGAGAGAGGAAGGGAGAGGGAGAGAGCCACTTGTCTTTAAATACGCAAATATCTTACTTGCATCATTTGCTTATCTTCTTACATTTTGTTCTTCCTTTTACAAGTGCATTTTAAAACAATCTTGGAAGCTTAGTGACTAACTGACAAACATGGTATAGCGGCAGTTGAACAGATTCCTTGGGTTCAAACCCTGCTCTCCCTCTTGCTGTGTAACCGGGGGCAGTGTTCTTCATCTCTGGTCTTTACTACTTTCCTCATAGGATTAGAGGAGTCAATAGCGTAAAGCATATGGAACAGTCCCAGGCACATCACAGCCGCTCCAGGGAGGCTGCTGTTAGGCATCCCCTCGTTCTCATGCAGGTCTGGAGACCTCAGTTCAAGTCATCCATTCTCCTAGCAAGCCAGATGGTCAGAGGGGTCAAGGGTCAGGGTCAGGGAGCCATCTGGAGGAGGAGGCTTTGATCTTTTGATTAGTTTATCCTATGCTTGGTTTAATCATCACTTTTCCTTGGTGGTTAGTGTGGGTAAAAAGAACTAATTAGCTCCAGTCTACTCACATCTTGCTTTTTGTTTTTAAATGAACTTCCTATTTAGTAAGGATAGTTTTAAACTTCTGAATACTGCTTTTTCCATGCAACAGTTATTGTCTCTTTTGTTTCCCGCTGGAGAAATTGCCAAATACTGTTTCTTTGAGCTGTAGATTTTTGCTGATTGTTCTTGAGTTGGATTTTGGTAACAGACCAAAACTATAAAATGGGAAGTTTGAATTGCATGATGCATGATTTCTTAGTTATCTACAACTAAAAATTAAGAAAGTATTAAAAACCAGCCAAATCACCAAATGGTTTGGTTTCTTCAATATGTTTAGGAATCTATTCTATACCAGTGGGTGCTTAATAATTCTAGATTTTTTTTTTTAAATATATTCTATTGATTTTTTTACAGAGAAGAAGGGAGAGGGATAGAGAGTTAGAAACATCGATCAGCTGCCTCCTGCACGCCCCCCAGTGGGGATGTGCCCGCAACCAAGGTACATGCCCTTGCTCGGAATCGAACCCGGGACCCTTGAGTCCGCAGGCCGACGCTCTATCCACTGAGCCAAACCAGTTCGGCAATAATTCTAGATTTTAAATGGGTTTGCAAACATATTGAGTTAGGAGTGTCCTGACCCACTGGATACATCTGGAAGGGTGGGTAGGGTGTCACTCTACCTCCTGTGACTCAGGGTAGGGTGTGGTCTTGTTCTCAGAGAGTCACTCACGGTGTGTCAAAGGTGACTTGGCAAGATTTCCGCTTTGTGTGCTAAAGAACACATAGATAGCAACAGATGGAACCAGGCTGCAGTGAGTTGGCTGAAATCCGAGGGGGTGCTATCCTTCTGAGGGAGGGCTGGGACCTTTTATGTCTCATTCCCTCTGAGGGGAAGAACTGTTTCCTATCAAATGCTTGAACAGCTGGAAGGAGTAGGATGTGACTCTTGCCCTCAAGTAGCTCACAAATACCGTGTAATGTCGTGCGCCATGTGTTACACGGAGCGAGTGAGGGCGGTACTTGGGAGCAGAGGGGAAGAGCACCCAGCCAGCAGGCAGACACGCCCGCCTGGACTCCTTGCAGATGAGGAATGACGTCAGCCCTGGCGGCCAAGGGCGGGTCCGAGTGGAGGTGCCACTGCCTGGACAGTCTCCTTCCTGTGAGCCGTGCTGCCCTGCCAGGAGGAGCAGGCCTTGGACAGCCCAGGCTGGCACCTGGGTTCTTGTTGGTGCTAACGGAGCACAGTCTCCAGCTGTTGGCTCCTTGGCCTGCAGGCCTATTCCTGTCGCTCATCCGTGCCCATGGTCAGACCCACTTGGGAATGGTGTTATCTGTGGCGTCCTAAAGAGACGTTCTCTTTCCTGAGGCCACTGATGCCGGCACCTTCTCTGTCGGTCGCTCTGTGTAGCCAAGTTCAGTCTGCCAGCCATTGGGTTCTACTTTGTTCTCCAAAAGATGGTGAGCAAGTAGTCATCGTTTTCAGTATAACTTGCCCTTCAAGTTTTTATTTTTTTCTAAACTAAGTAATCCTTAGGGCTTTTCTCCCCTTCAATAAATTATCTTTACATTCTCCTTAAAAGTATTTTGTAACTTCTGCATATTCCCCTCAGCTGGATGCTCAGAACAGAGGTGGGATCACATAGTACTCAAGCCCAGTGTCTCCCCTGTGTCCACGCACCTGCATTTGCCGACCTGCCTGTTGCAGTATTTAGTGGTGTGAGTGGGAATAGGTGTGACTTGTCAGTCACAGGGCCCCACCCTGTGTGGGTCACCCAGGTGTGTCATGGCAGTGTTTTGGTTTTCTGTATGTGCCCTGACTTGAAAAGGGTTTATAAGTCCTGGCTAGATTACTGCCACATGAGATACAAAGAAGAGCCATGGTGTGGAGCTGAGCTGTTGTGATTTTCAAACGGCTTCGAGCTTGGTTAGGTTGGCTGTTGTGTCCTCCAGCCAGAGTCACTAGGCACAGCTGTGGGTGAACACAGTGAGGCGGTCACTCTGTCCTGAGGGACACGCACACCTCGGGGACTGGGATGAGAGTTGGGCAAGGGCTCAGGGAAGCGGGGTTTGCTCTGGCTTGGATGCTGGCAAGAAGCAGGGTAGTTTTGTTGGGCATTTATTAAATTCATTAGAAGGTGAGGATGAAGTCGGGCTAGAGCTGTGGGTTGGTAGTTCCTCTCCTCGGCTGGGAGAGGGGACGTTAGGGGCTTTGTGGTTTGCACAGTGACCTCCTGTGCTTGTGCTTAGACAACAATTGAGAAGTGAGTGACCTTCCACTTACTTTGCGTTTGGCCTCCAGTTCAGCATGGCCGCGCACTGACCGTGTCTGACGGCGGCGTTCTGGGAGATTGCTTTATGCCGCACACACTTGCCGTGGCGGAGCCGTGGGCGCCGGGCCTGCTCTCAGGCGGGGCTCCTTTGCTCTGCGTGTGGATGTGCCCTGGTATTTTTCTGGTGTATAGAATGCCTATATTAAAAAAATACTCCAAGCTTGCAAGTAAAAATCAGGTGGAAAGCATTTGGAAGAGACTGAAGTGAAAGAAAGACATTATAGTGCTTTGGAGCAGTGAGAGTCAGCCATCAGAGGCCTGCCCACCTCGTTTTGTGGATTATACCACTGACCGCTGGGAGGCAACAGGAAAAACTGCTCTGATGCTGACCAGTGAGGACAGGGTTATTAGCACAGGGGTAGTCAAGTCACCCAGCGCCTCTGGGCCCGGCCGTGTGGTCAGAAATGCCCTGTGATGTAAGGAAAGTAATGGTCAAGTCCAGAGGAAAGGTGGCCTGTGACCCAGGACAGCGCAGGTGGAATAAAGAGGCTGCAGGACACACAGGTGATCTGTGAGGAAGGGAGAGTGTCGTGTGGCCGCGCCACAGGTGGCTGTGCTGAGGAGCTACATGTCACAGGGACAGGCTTGTCACAGGGATGGGCCGTGAGAACATTGGGCATCAGGGTGGAGAGCAAAGGTCTGAACAGCCGGTGCCAGCACATGCGTCTCAGAAGCAGGAGGAAGGAGTCCGTGAAGCCAGTCAGGCTGGGGCGGAACAGGCAGATGGTGTGATGGGAACGTAGGTTGGAAAACATCTTTCTTCATCAAAAAAGATGTTCTTAAAAATGAAACAGGGTACGGTCGATGTGGGTGGAGGATATCTTGAAACTGCATTTTCGTGCCAGTCCCCAGGAGTCCCTGTGTCACAGTGAAGATCTGGCGTCACGTCAAGTTCCTGGGAGGACAGATCTTCACAAATAGCCACAGATGAAAGCAGGGGCTGACGGAAACTTTAATGGTCTCTTCAAACTGGAAATGAGAGCTCGAATGAGATGGAAGGAAAATCATTCCCTCTCCGCCGTCTGGGGAGTGCCAGGCTGTGTGTGGCTGGAAGAGCGAGTCTTCCCGTTTGTATTGGGACAAGGAGGGAATGGAAAGCATTGTAATAAACACCCGAACGCTGTCACCCCGTCCGGATCCGCGGGGGCCGGGGATTGAAGGTCTCTGTGCAGCAAACTGTTCCCAGAGTTCGGCCCCAGCCCCATTCCCGGAAAGCCTTTCCCCCAGAGGCCTGTCCACAGACGGGGCTGCCCGAGTGCTGCGGCCTCAGCCGGCCGTCTCACGACTGGGACGGAGCCCTTTGAAAGGTGTGCCTGTCGCTGATGGACGCCAGCGGCAGGAAGGACACATTTAACACTTCCCTGCGGAGCACGGGCTTCCTGGCACGTTGTCCGTGTGCTGCCGTGGGGAGGAGGAGCGCCGTCTCCTCCTTGTGTGCCTGCCCTCTGGCCTCACCAGCCCCTCCCCCAGGTTGGTCAGCTGTGGCTCTGGCATCAGACCCATTAGACCAGCAGTCGCCAACCGGTGGTCCGTGAGGTCTGTCAGATTGGCGACCGTTGTGTTAGACCATCGGCTGCTGTTAGATCAAAACCTTGGGAGGGTGGAGACAGTTCTGATGAGGTATAAATAGCAGGCTGTGTTGATTTTATTTTCCTCCGTTTTTACTAAACTCAAACAAAGTTCTCATGCATTACTAGGTTGGAGAAACGTACGGTAAGGATATAACCTCCAGGGGCAAAGACAAGCCGATTGCCGTATGTAAAACTTTCAGTCGACTTCAGTTTCAGCTCTCTCTCTCCTCTCCTTTCTTAGTTTTCCTAGGATTTCCTCTTCAGCCTCACGTTTCTGGGGTCTGCTTGAACCGGGCTTCGCATAGGGTGTGACCCTTTGCCCCTAGCTTGAATGGAAGCAGTCCTCCCGAGTGGAAGGGGAGGCTCTCCCCAGGCTGGTGGAGATGGAGACGGGGCTCCGCCAGGAACCCCACTGCGGGCCCAGAGCTCAGCCGGGTGAGACTAACCAGGGCTGCCAGGGCCTCCGCTGGTGTCCTGGTGCGTGGCCTGCCGGGTGCGGCTGTGCGGGTGGTGCACTAACCCACTCTGCTTTGTCGTGTCATCAGCTGCGGTGATTCTTGGACAAGCTTGTGCATGTGCTGGCATAAAAATGTTGTTCATAAAAAGCTGTTTGTGGGGTGTTTCTTTCCCTTTCAGGTACAAGATAGCGGCTGGATGATTGAAAGTGTTAGCTTGGGACTTGGGCATTTCACCAAGTAACAGAATTGCCTCTTTCCAGGAAAATGTTTTATAAATTAGCATTTTAGAAACTCGGTATTTTTTAATTCGAGTAAGTATTTAGACTTTTTACACAATGCAGAATGGGAGGAAAGCCCGCACGCTTCACTTGTAGCCCCACGTTTTTCAGGCATTTCTTCTGCACCTACCCCGCCCGGGCGCAAGCTTTCTGGAGGCCGCGTTCAGGCGTGGGGAGCTCCGACGCTCTTACATGCTCGGCCCACCTCCCTCGTGGGAATGTGCTCAGGTAGCAAGGGCTGGAGCCCAGCGACCATCTGAGGGTGTTTATGCTTAACACGCAGCGCGGAGCTTCCTGAGAAGCATGCGCTTGTAGGTAATGCTTTGAGAAACTGGCCAGGTTTTACGGAATATTCTAGTGGTATCCCCGTTAGGCTCCCAGTGGGAGTTGGGAGTGATGGAAAGAGGCCTCCCAGGGCTCTGACTTGATGCCTCCACAGCCGTAATAACTGGTAGCATATTTCGCCTCTGCTCCCCTTCTCACCGTGACTGGTGCTTCAGCGGGGCCTTGTTTGGGAGCCGTCTGCCAGAAGCCAAGGTGTATCCAGGGGGCTTGCTCTCGACCCAGGCTGCGGGGGTACAGTATGTGCCCCTGGTCCAACGGCTCGTCCCCAGCAGCATTTAGAAAGCAGAGTGCGTTCGTCACTGCAGACCATCTTCTAAACGCCACCTGTGTTTCTTTTTATAGGACGTCTTCTTAATTTGCTTCTCTCTTGTGAGTCCTGCTTCATTTGAGAATGTTCGTGCAAAGGTAAGTGGGTTTTTTTTTTTTTTTAGAAAACCTATTTTGTTACATAATGTCACTCTCAGGAAGAAACTTTAAGACATAAAATAACCATTCACTGATTGACATTTTCAGTTACTTAAATTGGGTTTAGTAATTCTGTTAAAGCACACCAGCAGTGTTCTAAGTGTCTGACTGCAGTGCTTGGAGTTGTAGCTTCCGGCTGACTCAGAGTGCCGCCCCCACCCCTGCACCTCTCAGACCCGGGGCCCCTCAAGGCTCAGTGGGTGATGGCAACAGAGCCGAGACTTTGGTTCAGATCTCTATTCTCATCCCTGAGTATACAGGGCGGGCAAAGTAGGCTGACAGTTGTGAGTACACGAAATACTGTTGGTTATTATTACATTACTTATTTGTATTACATCTGCCAACGTACTTTTGCCCACCCCTGTATGGAGTATTTTCTGAGATGACCTAAGAACTTGACTCGTTTTACTAAAAACGAAGTGGGTTTAGGGGGAACCATCCCTGTCTCTTCCCCTCTCTCTTGCTGATGAGTAGTGCCTGCCCGGTAGGGCCGCAAGTTGACCATGCTCACTGTGGGTTTAATCTTGGAGTCCTGCTTGCTGTCAAATATCCAAGGCAGTCCCCTGGTCCAGGCCGCCCTGGTCCTCGAAGGAGTGAGTGGGATGTGAGCACGGCTGGGAGCAGGTGGCCTCTGCGTGAAGGCTGTCGGGACACAGTGACTCAAGGGCAGTTGGCATTTTGGCAACTGAGGATATGACTTCGGTGAAGGACGCTCAAAAAGGAGAGTCATAACTCTCTTCCTTTCTTCGCATCCAGTGGTACCCTGAAGTTCGACACCATTGTCCCAACACTCCCATCATCCTGGTGGGGACCAAGCTTGATCTTAGGGATGATAAAGACACGATTGAGAAACTGAAGGAGAAGAAGCTGACACCCATCACCTACCCGCAGGGTTTAGCCATGGCCAAGGAGATCGGTATGAGCGCCTGCGTTTCTCGTGTTTGCTTTGCACGTGCTTTCATTTTCCTGATGGAGACGAGTGCAGCCTGGGAAGTGGAGCGTGTGCTCCTCCAGCTCAGGGACTGGCTTACTGCTGGGGAACCAGTTAGGTGAGCCCCGCCCATAGTGTTCAGGAGAAGCAGTGGGGTTAGGGGTTGCTGTGCTGTGTCTTGGGGGGCGGCCTCCCCTTGTTCTGATCAGAACCATGGCCGAGTGGCTGTAAGAGGCTGTGTTTCTCGGCAGGTGCTGTAAAATACCTGGAGTGCTCAGCGCTCACACAGCGAGGCCTCAAGACAGTGTTCGATGAAGCCATCCGAGCCGTTCTCTGCCCGCCGCCCGTCAAGAAGAGGAAGAGAAAATGCCTGCTGTTGTAAATGTCCGGGCCTCGCCCTGGCCCTGGCCCTGGCCCTGCGAACCTTTGTATGCTTTGCTCAAAAAACGATGGAGCCTTCGCACTCAATGCCAAGTTTTTGTTACAAATTAGCTTTTCCATAAAACCATTTTGAACCAATCAGTAATTTTTAGGTTTTATTTAAACAAATAAGTGTAAGGATTCAAACTTTCACATTCTATTAAAATTTAGCCCTAAAATGACAAGCTTTCTTAAAGCCTTATTTTTCAAAAGCCCCTATTTTTGCTCAGATAAAGAGTTGCCAAAATTCCTTGTGAACTAAGTTGCATTGTTGTGCTAAGAACACTAAGCACTAAACTGTTCAAAGGCCTTTGTCTTGGAGAAGACTAGCTTCTGAAGTTAGGGAAGGCAGGCACTTGCTAATGAGTTTCACACGCAGCAGCCTCCTTTACGAAATGTTGCCATTCATAATTTATCAACCCACGTCCCTTACCTAACATTGTACTGTATATCAACTCAACTCTTCGGATTGATCTTTATTTCGTAGTGAGATTTTTAAAAATTAGTATATTAGCTTTTGCTGGATCGTGAACAGAACCCTTCCTCACGTGTTCCTCTGATGAAGTATTCTGCTCTCACGGGCACACTGGGGTGGAGTGTAGGGAACACTTGATGTGATCAAAGGATGAAGACAGTATTTGACAAAATATGAAGTGGAGATTAATTTACACTACATTGTACACGTAACAAACTGAATAAGTGTCTGGGTAAGATTTGAAAAAGGTTAGTTTCTGTCAAATGCAGTTGATGGTGAAAGTTGGTATTAATCAGTAAGTGTTTTCTTAAGATTTTACTTTTTCTTAAACCTGTAATCCCTCCCACAATTGGGCATTTAATTCATCTTGGAACTGGTCATTCCCATAGTTGCTAACTTAGTGCTTTTCTTATAGACCCCCTTCTCAATGAGCAATATGCCTCCTTGTATAAAATCTTTCTTGATAATGCATTAGTTTTTCTGTAGGTTAGTCAAAGTGCGTTCCTGTTTTCACATTCTTTTATTCAAAGCTAATAAGTGCTTTCCTTAGTTTTCTAGAAACTAGATGTAAAAATCACGTGTTGCATCTCTACAGTTTTTTAAGTATTTTAGATATTCTTAAACTATGAGCCTTCTTACCACCACTGTCTTGCCAGACCCCAGCACTGTACCTTGGCCGCGGCTGGCCCCTCCGCCTCCCTGTGTGGACACGCTTCCTGTTGCTCTAACCATGTTCCTTTGGGTGGGAGGTTGTGACCTTGTGCTTGTGCTAACGACGTTCTGTATAGCTTACCCACTGGCAAGAACACAAATTGGACCTTTCAACCACTAGAACAACATTTTTTAAATTGACATTTGCAGACTTGTGGAGTGTTTTTACATTGATCTTTGCTAATGCGGTTAGCAGTATGTTTGCATGTATGACTTAATAAATCCTTGAATCCTATGAGTGGTCACACTTGAGTTCTTGAGAGCTCGGGGAACGACCCCCTGGCGTGTCCGTTTTCACTTGCCTTTAAATTCCTAGGCTGTGGAAGACCTTCATTTTCAATCCTCTTTTCATGCGGGGACAGGGAGGGCCCCTCCAGCGGAGACGAGACATGGGTGAGTCAGCAGATGGGGGTGGTTGGTTTCAGACCTATTGATCGTTGGTGAGATACTCCCATGATGCCCACCTTGGGGCACGCATGTGTGCATTGCATGTGCATCTCAGGCCAGGGCTCTGGGCTGAAACGAGATGCTGGGATCACAGTTGGCATGTTGGTGGGGCAGAAACACTGCCTTCAAGACCCTGTCTGGAGCCTGGGGTTGTGCTATCAGTAGTTAATGCTGGAATCCGGTTCCTGGATATTCTTTTTTATTGCTTTGGAAGACTTTTATTTTTGAGTTTCTTTTTAACCAAAGATAAATATGCTGTTTAAAGGCCAAATAGTTCTAGAAGCTTGCTACAGAAATAGCAATCTTCCCCAGAGGCAACTACTTTGAGTACTTTTAACAAATTTATATTTGCCCTCACAATCTAAATCCTTCTAAATGCTTTCTTTTTTTGTTCACTAGATTACTGGCTTATTATAGAAGGCTATACCTCAGCCAGACGGAGGAGATGCATGGGACAAGGTATGGGGAAAGAGTTCGGGGTTCCCATGCCTCCTTCCAGGGCCACTCTCCCCAAATAGCTACATGTTCACCAGCCCGGAAGCTCTCAGGACCATCCTCTGGGTTTTTATGGAGGCCTCATCGCACGGCAGGACTGATAACCCTCTCCGGGGGTCAGTCTAAATCCTGTGCTTTTATTGGTGGTTGGATTCTTCCGTTTCAGCCATTACCAGCGACATTCCCACCGTGGAGATCGGAGGGCTTTGTTTCCAGCTATACCTCCGGCCCAGCACCTTTCCCATCCCCTCAGTGTGGTTGTTGCGGTTGGTGCTCATTATTTAGTGTCTGTATTATTACTGTGTAAATATAGCTGAGCCTCCTGTATGTGCCTTGACTGGGAATTGAACCGGTGACCTCTTGGTGCATGGGACAATGCTCAAGCAACTGAGCCGCACCGGTCAGGGCAGGCTTATGTTTTTTTGTTGTTAATCCTCACCTGAGGGTACTTTTCCATTGCTTTTTAGGGAGAGTGGAAGAGAGAGGAAAAGACAAAGAGAAACCCATCGATTGGTTGCCTCCTGCACAAGCCCGGGCCAGGGAGGATTCTAATACCAAGGTACATGCCCTTGACCGGAATTGAACCTGGGACCCTTTGGTCTGCAGGCCGATGCTCTACCCACTGAGCCAAACGAGCTAGGGCCAGGTTTATGCTTTTTAAAGAAATCCCTTTACCGTCATTTTATGGGCTTCGTGGGTCGGCGGGAAATCAGATGTCCATGCAATCTTCAGTCTAGCCACAGCGTCAAGAAGACTCCGTGTTGTTACAGTGGACAGAACAAAAACTTGAAGGGTGATTGCTTCAAGCCACCCGGGAAAACAGAGCCGTGGAAGCGTCCAGTAGGCGAGCACATCATTGTACACACACCAGTGACCGTGTAAGTGCTTTATTAATGCCCCTGGCCGACTCCGAGAGCCAGAAGGATGTTCACATCAACTGGGTTGATGAAACAAGGTGAGCGAGCGTGTGAGCGAGTAAACAAGGAAGGGCTGCGGCCGTGGGGCAGGAGCTGTCTCCCCTCACTTTCCTGACCTGGTCTTGTCTTGATTCCCAAGAGGAGCTCAGGGCTAATCCTTAGTGCCACCAGGAGTAAACCCCAGTCTCTACCCTCCCAGCTGAGAACTGAGTGTGTGTAGCCAGGAGAATCTCTTTGCTAAATAAACTGCACACCTGTGTGCCAAGCTCAGGCTCCTCTGAACAGGGACAAGACCCTGCCAGTGGGAAGTGGCGGGGGTGGGGGTACAGACCAGACCTGGCTGCCCAAGTCCCACGCTGTCCTGGGCCATTCTCAGGTGTGGGAATCCGCAGGTCCCGGGGACAGGCTCCTGCGAAGCTTTGTGCACGTTCAGCCTGCTGTGCTGATAATCGGATAAAGTGGTATCTCAGACCGTTCAGTCATTAGACTCGAGTTCAGTGCCTGTCAAACTCCTATCATTGCATTGGCATCATGGGATTCACTTGGATGTGAAGTCTAAGAATGACGGTCTGCGTCTGCAGTCCTGGAAATCTCCAGTAGCTGTGGTCACACCACGTCCACATTATGCAGAGCCTGCTGGGGTGGGACAGGAAATGCAGGCATCCCTGTTGGACACCCTGTCCAAGGCTCTGATCAGGACGTCCGGCATGTGGTCTGTTAGCATCTTTCCGCCGATGAGTATTTCGCTGAATTCTGATTCATGTGCCCACTTTGCAGTATACTGAGCAGTGTAACAGGAACACCTGAAAAAGACAGGAATCAATTGGCAAAGCATCACTTCGAATTGAACTCCACAGACGTGTTTCATTACGGATGGTGTGTGGACTGAGCCAGGTCAGGGCCCCCAGCCCCCAGCTCACCTCCCTGAAGGACCCTCTTCTTCCAGGTGGATGATCCTGCCAGGAGGGTAGAGAGGGGGGTACTTGGTGGGGGACCCCAAGGGGGAGTCGCTGGGTCTGTATCCTGGGGACTTGTGTGTCAGCAGGCTCTGCTCCCCGAGAAGTGGCAGCGTCAGGTCTCTGTGGTCGCCCCCGTCCAGCTCTGTTGGAAGGTCATCTGGGTTCCCCCCAAACAGCCCGTACCAGCAGCCGCGCAGCAGAATCTTGTACTAGAGGGCGAGACCGAGAAGCAGCAGCACTTTCACTCCAGGCTTCACAGCCCGGGGCGGGGGAGGTGGCAGCAGCTCGGAGCGCGGACAGATGCCTCGCTGCTTATTAGTCGGATCTTGGGAGTGGAGGCCAGTGGGCCCAAACTCAGGTGTCTCTTAGGCAAAGAAGCCATCACATAGAAGCAATATTTAAAAACCAAATCATGCAGATTTTGAGGCAAAATTATGCTTAATTCTTTTCAGGTAACTGCAAACCAGTTTTACTCTTCCCTCAAAAATGTTAGATACTAATAGTTTTAAATTGGGGTGGGGAATAGCTGATAAGGAGAAAGTTTATTTTAAATTCTTAGTATTTTTTCTGATTAGCAACAAAAAAAATGTCAGAAAACAAAGGTTAAAGGGAGATTAAAAATTTTTTCATCGAAGCTCATATGTCTGTTATTTATATCCTGTTTGTTTTTTAACTTTTCAATACATCATGGATAGCTTTCGCTATTGGTAAATATAAGCTCACATCGCCATTCTTTTTTTTTTTTAACCCTCACTAGAGGATACTTTTCCCATTGCTTTTCAGAGAGAGTGGGAGGGAGAGAGGCATAGACTGGTTGCCTCCCACATGTGCCCCAACCTGGGGTGGGGAGCGAACCCACAACCCAGGTATGTATGTGCCCTTGACTGGAAATTGAACCCACAGCCCTTTGGTGTGCAGGCTGATGCTCTAACCACTGAGCTCATCAGCTAGTGCTCATGTCGCCATTCTTAAAGGCTGCCTAATATTCCACAGGACAGTCCTACTGTTGTGTCATAAATTCTAGCTGGTAGCCTTGTTTTCTGAGCTTTGGGACCAAAGGCATCAGGATATCGTGGGTCACAAGACAGGGCTAGCTAAGTACAACAGCAAATCACAACGAAGTCTGAGAAGTCTGCCCAGGGTAGCGTCACCTGCACTGGCTGAGGCTTCAAATTTAGAAACATCCTCCCCAGGTCGCACAGGCACACATTACCTTGGGCTTGTTGCAATGGGCAATCAGCCGCAAGATTTTCTTCTTCAAATCCTCCATGTTGGTCACACTTAGCCTGTTTATTGAAAGATCAGATTGATGCTCAGTACTCAGTCTTTTCAGCTACCCCAACCCCGGACGAAGCACCAGCAGACTGACCTGGGAACCACATCCTTGCCCACGACAAGTGACACAGTGAAGTCCTTAGAGGATTCATAAAGGGATTTGCTGAAATTTCAAAAAAAAAGAAGAAATAAAGTTTCCCTTCTCTACCCTAACTTGAAAAGATGATGCGCACCCACACGTTCAGTGCAGCACTACAGTAGCCACGACACGGAGACAACTGAAGTGTCCACTGACAAATGTTATTCAGGCACAAAAATAGTGAAATTTTGCCATTTGATAAAATATGGATAGGCCTGGGGGCATTGTATTAGGTGGAATAATTCAGACAGAAAGACAACCACCACATGATCTCACTTATATGTGGAATCTAAAAAACAAGTTCACAGATAGAGAACAGACTGATGGTGGCCCGGGGCGGAGGGGGGGGTGGCAGAGGTGGGCAAATGCATGAAGGGACTCAAAGGGTAGAAACATCTATATAATAAAAGCCTAAGCAACCATTAGAGCAGAATAACCAGAATGACCAGTCACTATGATGCGCACTGACCATTGGGGTAGACGCTCAATGCAGGAGCTGCTCCCTGGTGGTCAGTGTGCTCCCATGGGCGCTCAGCCAGGAGCCGGGCTCACAGCTGGTGAGTTGCAGCAGCAGTGGCGGGAGCCTTTTCCGCCTCTGCAGCAGCGCTAAGGAGCAGTGAGCCAAGTGGTAAGGAGCAGCAAGCAGGCGAGCAGTAAGGAGTGAGGGCTCCCGGACTGCGAGAGGGCACAGTTCGGGTTGAGGGATGCTTCACCCCCCCCACCTCTGTGCACGAATTTCGTGCACTGGGCCTCTAGTCCAGTTATAAAACAAGTCCACTATAGTTAACACTGTATTGCATATTTGAAAGTTGCTAACAGTAATCAAAGTTGTCATCACAAGAAAAAAATGCATGGTAACATGTTAACTAGACACCGTGAAGATTATTTTGCAATGTATGTAAATACTGGATCTTTGTGTTGTGTGCCTGAAATGAATAAAACATTGCATGCCATTTGGCATTACATCATTTAGGAAATCAAAGCCATGGTCCGACAGACCTAT